CTTCATATATTCTAAAAGATTACATCAGTTTTATATTTAATGTTAAATTCAGTATCAATGCATAAATCGAACCCTCCAAGCATGTGGCTCTAGCAATGTATAAATGTATTTTGTAATTTCCTTGTGAGAGAAATTAATCAAAACATTGTCTTTTAACACAAGTACTTGCTGTGATGGAACTTGATTAGGATTTAAAAAAAAAAAAAATGTACATATATATCTAAATATATTTCTTCCTTTTTTTTTTTTTCAAATCCAGGCCTGTATATATTTTTTTTTTTAATTTAATTATACATCCAAATCACAAATCTTATGCACTTATGCTAAATTCATCTATGAGAATTTTTATTGGTATCCTGTATCAAATTAATACCAACAAATCTGGAGTTTATGGCTTATGGGCTTACATATTGAATCAGATCATGAGTTACAAAGTTGACGATTGCCCTAAATTAGGTTTCGCGTGATGATCTTATGATTATTAACAACACTGGAAAATGCGAGTTGGAATCTATTTGTAGTCAAAGCGAATCTATATAGGGGAAAAAAAGTATAGAGAAAAATTTAGGAGATCAGACAGATGATATTAATTGTAAAATGATGGTGTGCATCATATATATACATATATAGTTTATAAACCAAACCGAGAATGAAAAGTGGAATCTGAAAAAATCTTTTGGAACAGAAAAGAGAGGAAAAGAAAAAAACAACTTGGAATTCAACTAAATTTAACGAAAACTAAACCAATAATCACTACCTGTGTTTTCTAGCTCCTTTTAAATCGTAAGCAACTGCTACAGTTATTTTAATGCGCTGCTTTACGCCTCTTCCTTTTTCCATTTGTAGTTTTTGCTTGTTGCTTTAAACAATTTCTTATTTTAGTACTACTTGTTGGCCGTTGCCCTGTTTTTATGCTTACAATTTGGTACAGAATCCCAAAAGAATCAAACTTGTTATGAAAAGAAAGAAAGCTGCACGTCTTTGCAGAACAACTGAGAAGAACAAGGGCTAGGTGCTGCATTTTTTCATCCTTCTTTCCAACATGCCATATCATATATAATTTTTTTTCTTGCAAATAAACGTTAACTTCAGCCAACTAACTAAAGCAACTTAACACAAAAGTTAAAACTAAAATAAGCTAACATAAAAGTGTTTTCATGCAACAATGCATTTAATTTACAGCACGGTATATGTCTTATTTACAAACCAGGCTAAACCTTTGAGATTTTGTTATTTTTTTTAGCATATGTAGATGCCTTTCGGGGATTGATAATGATTTTTTTTTTTTCTTAAAAGAGAGCAATCAAATTTAATTACAAGTGCCATGTGTAATGATCCATAACCTAACACTAATAATAAGTCAAGGAAAATTTCTGGTAGACTAATTAGCAGCACTAATTAATCAATGCATTGTTAATTCAGGCTTCTTATGACATATTATGATTTCATGCTTTACATTGGATGAAAGATGTAATAAATTCAGGCTTTATCCTCCTTAAATCCAGTCTTATTCATTAGCATCATTCTCCACCAAATGCCCTGGAACGAATGAAAGAAAAAGATAAAGTTAAAGAGAACAAAGATAAGATGAGAAAAGATTACAAAAACCTTATTTGTTTAACATCGATCTAGAGGGAGATTTAATGTTTTTTTTTTTTCATCCGTAGGTAACTGTAATAGAAACACATATATTATTTTCATATTATGCCCGTTCATCTACGTTTAGCTTTTGGGAAACAATTATGTGGGACATCAGGAACAGTGAACAACATAGCATTTTGACTCTAAGCGTAGTTTCTTTCTTTTTTTTTTTTTTTTTTTGTTGATGGAGGGTGTCCGGACCAATTTGTGTCCAAATCAATTAATTCTCAAGAACCCTGAAGTTAATGACCAGATAAACTTTCAGTGACCACTCCTATTAAGGATCGAGGTGAATCGAACTCAAGATCTCTTAAGTAATATATCTAAAAGTCTTAATTAACCAATTAACCACCCAGTGGTGGTTACTCTAAAGTATATTCAACTGAAGGTAAAAACCGTAAAAGTAAAAGCTTAAGGGATCAATTATGGCTAACTATTTGGGATTATTATATATTCCACTAGTTTATTTTTCATTTTTAAGAAATAATAGGATTGTAGGCATTGAAATTGATGTTATAAATTATTGAAAGTAGACTTTAGTTTAGAACTCAATCAATATGTGAAGAAGATCAAGGGACTTTTGGGTATTAGAAAAAAACACGAATGCAACCAGGGGAACTTGACAATAGCTAATTAATTATAAGATGATACTGAACACTTGTAGAGGTCCTTTATCCATATGCACAAAGCATATTTATTTGAACCTGTTATCGGACCGTAAGATATAATTTGTTTGTGGTGGGTACCAAACAACTGCATCAGATGAAAAACATAAGGTACAGGAGGGACCATTCCAGATGAAATATAATGCGGATGCATCCAGATGGTTTAATTACTTTATGCTTTTAGTGATCAAATAGTATCAAAGTATACTAGCCAACTTGCTCAAGGTCTTCCGATATTTTATTTTTCTTTTTCCATTGCTTTAATTTGGGTAGGCTAGCTAGACCAGCTCAATGTTGGAAAAATCAGAACATTGATAATTGACAGTACAAAGACACCAAAAAAAGCTCAACAAGAAAGAGAGAGAACCTTTAACAAAGACTTTCCTAGATTCTAGCGGATAGCTTCACGGTGGATTCTTCATACAAGTTTATATGCATGAACTCCTTCCCACGCATCTGAAAATGTTCCATAATTAGGCAGATATATAGGTATTTGAATTACAATAAAGCTATACTTATAAAAAAAAAAATCTTACAAAAATTTTAATATAAAGTGAGGTGGTAAAAAATGAATAGAAGAGTAAAATAAAAAGTCAAACTCATTATACTCACTCTTGTAAGTGTTGCATTACTCTTTGAATTAATGCTAAAAAGCAAGTGGAGACTGAATAACATTATCCACTATTACAATTTATCCAATTTAGTAACATGAAAACACCCCAACCAAGAGAGGGAGAGTACATGTATTTTTGTTTTTCTGTTTATATATACAATAGTATCTTTCTATAGTCATAATGACGATATCAACTAATTTTATTACTATGAGGATGTTATAACTTAGTAGAAGTATAATTACAAAAATTATTACTTTGATTTCTTATTTTATATTTTATGTTTTAGTAGTACAATTAGAATTTCAATTCATGTTTTAGTAATATTAGGATTTCTTATTTACTTTTTCTAATATAGGAATATTACTTGAAACTAGAAAAGATAAATGTTTTTGATAGAATTGAAAATGTTGTTGCTACATGATCAATCGATGTGAAGTCATAGACAATTGCGAGTTATTTTAAGCACTGCAAAATTAAGACCCCTGATGTCGATGAATTATAAGTTACAAATAAGTGGATAACTAGAATCAAAGAGTCATTGCAGAATTGAGTGATTAGATTCGATAACTTTATTATACATTAATCAAATGGCTATTAATGTCGTTCTCAATTACTCAAATGAGCAACAAATCATGTATGTTTTAATTGAAAAAGAAATAATTGTTGTAATTAGACAAGAAGATGAAGCAGATAATCTAGAAGATGATAGTATGAAAATACAATATGTTTCGTGCCAAAAAGCTCTAAACATGCTTGAGAAGTTAGAAATATTTTGACTTCAATAAGAAAATGTTTATGCTGGCAAGTTATTACGTACCCGCAAGTTAAAAGATATGGTAACAATTCTAAAACATAAATCATTATCCCAAACAACTTTAGATAAATATTTTATTTCATCTTAAACATTTAATGTAATATAACATATATTTTTTGTAATATACAGATAATTATTATTATGTGGAGACAAGTTCCTTAAAGACTAATTCTGCACAATATCATCATTTCAATTTTTACATGACAGTATTTGAATTTTAAAGATTAATTTGCAGAAAGTTTTAACGTTCATGATAGCATATATTGTTTAGGAATTTGCAATGCAAAGAGATGAATGAATCAAACTCTATATTTAATAACTGATATATGTATGTTACGAGGGTGTTTCGTTTAAGTTGATTCAAAATTCTAAGTGAAGTGCAATATTATGTTTATATATAGGCTAAGAATGCTACAAGAAAAGAAAGTAAAAATCCGAACTATACATATATATATATATATTCATGGTAATTCTAAATAAATATATATAAGTAAATGATACATTCCCCAACTTTTTAACTGCCGTTAACTGTAATATGGGTTTTTAGAAAAAAATAGGAAAGAGGTTTCGGATAAGGTAAAGGTAGCGAGTGAAAAATCCGCAAGAATAATGAAGAGGCATGCAATGAGAGAGAAATGAAAGTGACATTTGGTCTTACAGTCAAAGAACTTTGCTCCTCCTGTCCTCCATGGGTGGTAAAAGCAGGTGCAAAGCCAATAGGTATATGCCTCTGTTCAATTGCTATAATGAATAATTGTCCTTCCTTCCGTCTTTCTTTCTTTCTCCAATCTCTCCCTAGGTTTTCTAGAGGTGGGTGGCCAAGTCTGACTCTCTCAGTTTCAAACCCTTTCGTTTCTATCTCTCCCTAGCAATCTCCCCATCTCTATTGTATGAGAAAAGAAAGAATAGGAAAGGTTGCTGTCAAGCAACTACCTGCAACCCACGTGAAATGTCGCAATTGTAGCTGGGGCTTAATTCTGATTATTACCTCACTTTCAGAGCTCCTCTGTTTCGCACGACCACTAGTGTTTTGAGTCCACTATTCGCTCTCTTTCAGCCCCTAGTTTAGATCTTTCTTTCTTTCCCTTTTCTCTCATTTTCTAAGTTAGCTGCACCGTAGTTCTAGTACAAATACACTTTAAAGGCCTTAAGGGGAAAAAAAAAAGAAAAAAGATTCGTATTCTCTCATAAATACCACTTTCTAAGTTAAACTTTCTTATTCTTTTTGCCTATCCTTTTGCCAGTTTCAATACCTCTTCTTAAGCTATGTTTCCTTCAGGTAGCAACTGTGAACCCTTTCCTTTCACCAATCAAACCATGCTTGGAACCGACAATGAAAACCCTAGCTCTTCACAGGAACATCATCATCCCTTACCATTTCTGCCCTTCTCTGAACCCTTCCTTTCTGATGATAATGAATTGCTTATGAGTCAATTTCTATCACAGCAACAAATCATGTCTTGCAGTTCGAATCTGGCAGCTCAGACTGAGATTGAAATGGCATCTCCAATGAAAGCAACAAAGAGAACCACGAGGAAGAAGAAAAGAGTTAGTAGTGAGAACAATAGTGAAAAGCAGGCGATTCCTCGAAAGAGAGCTGGGAAAAAGGACAGGCACAGCAAGATCCACACGGCTCAAGGCCCGAGAGATCGCCGGATGAGGCTGTCCCTTCAAATCGCTCGTAAATTTTTTGATCTTCAAGACATGTTAGGCTTTGATAAAGCAAGCAAAACCATCGAGTGGCTATTCTCCAAATCCAAAGCCGCAATCAAGGAACTCACTGAGAGTTTGCCAGGTTTCAAAAAAAGATGTATTGGCGATGGAAAGAGTCTTTCATCTACTTCCGAAAGCGAAGTAGTCTCAGGATTAAAGGACAGCGGAGGAGCTCTGGTTATAAGAGAATCTTTGATGGCCACCCCCAGAGAGGCAAAGAACAAAAAATCAGAAAAAGCAAAGGAATCCAGAGAGAAAGCAAGGGCAAGGGCAAGGGAAAGAACAATTGAGAAGATCAAAAGATCAAAACATTGTTCTGACGAAGCAAACCCTAAAGATTCGGAACCATTAGGGTCATCTAGTGCCCTTCAGACCGCTCAAAATTTCGGTCCTTGTAGCCAAGAAATGAATTCCTCTTTGAAGGTAGTGGCTGAAGAAGAAGCCGGCACTGTTCACTTGCTGGAACAAGAGATGGACCCTGTGAGCATCATAGAGAAATTTCTTGGAATCACACCAGGATCATCATCGGCCTTCGGGTACTCACACAACATTGCAGAATCAAGCGTCGGAAAATTTCATCAAAATAATGCAGTTTATACAGGAAATTGGGACAATACCAACAATGATGCGCTTCAGTATACTTACTGTACAAAGACAAACGTGAAGGAATTAGCAGGTAATCTCCAAGTACAAAACCCCTGTGCAATCCACATGATCAACCAGAATGACCAAGCTAAAAAATCTAGCCCAAATTTCATGACCACCTCAGATGCCCATCACCAAAACCCTAACTCAATTTTCATGTCTCCCTCAAATGCCCATGAACAAAACCCTAGTTCAATTCCCATCATTTCAAATATTGATTCGCAGTCTCACCTGCTAGAAAACCAATTCTCCAGCAACCCCAATGTTTCCAACAAATATTACCGTTTGTATTGAAGAGGAAAGACTCTCTTTTTAAGTATCTGAACAAGAAAAATTGTTTGGCTCATCTCCACTTCTATCTAGTGGGTCCTTTGCTGTTTGGATGATTAAATATTAGGATTTATGTATTTCTTCTAGTTTATGAGAAATTGAAATATGTTGTTTTGTCTTTAATCTTTATTGTGATCAATTCTATCATGTTTTTTTTTTTTTTTTTTTTTTTTTTTTTTTTGTTTTGGTTTGTAAGTTATCCAGTTCATCCTTTTGTTCTCCATTATGAGGTAACTATTCATGATCATGTTAACTCTAGATTGCAGTAGCAAAGATATCCTTAAATGGAAATACATACCAGCAGAAAGGCTGATGCAAATAACTTTGACATGTTGGTATTTTCCTTCTGTCTCAAAAGTAGAATTAAATAAATACGGATAGCACAATACTAACAGAAATAAAAGAAAAATAATTCCATGTATATTTTGTCTTGTGATCTAGGAGTATGATCAAATGAAGATAAAACTCACGCAGGAATAAAGATATATACTTGAAATCTTTGAGCTGGATCTCTTTATTCCTTCATAATTAGCTCAAAGGATATGTTTGCTAGGACCTAGAACACCATCGTGAGATTAAATAGCTTAGAAAGGAAACACCCCCCACCCACCACCCCAAAAAAAAAATATATAAAAATAAATAAATTAGAAATAGAAATCCTGGAGAGGTAGAACTGAAAACGTGCTTGGCCTCGTTGATTCTTTTTTGTTTCTTTATATTTTCTTGTTCTCATATAGATTGTGGAGAAGGAAATGCACTTTCTTATCCTGCCTAGATGAGAGTACACTGCCTCACGGGTTCAAGAGCCTGACATGGACTATTGGCCCCAATATCATATTGGGTTGCAACAGAAATTCAAACTTATCTAGGCAATCAGATTCCGAGCTAGCTGCGTTATCGCAGGTAAAATATTTCTGATTATTATTAGATTCTTTTTCTCTTGATGCATTCCATTTTCCTAACACAGTTATGATTAATAACATATCTGAATCTAATAGAAATTGAATGACTAAACTGTTGGTGCATGATTTATCAACAATTAATTAATAGTAGGTGTCCAAGAGTCTTTTTTAATACTTAAATACTATTATTGGACCTTTTAGCTATAAGCATAGGATTTCAGTATATATAGCTAAAAGGTCCAATAATAGTACCAAAACCTATTTGACTGATTTTTCTTCAGTAGTTCATTGGTGTTTTGCATGTTCTAATAAATAGAAGAGTATTTTATATATAGTTATGTTTTTCAGTTCATTGCTAAAGGCTTTAGGCTTCGATTCAATTATAATTATGTAATTATCTACAAATTTTGCATCTTAAATGTATATTACTTAGATCAATTTAATAATTTTGGGTGACATCATATGAACTACAATGCACGACGATGAAACATATAGTTTGTTGAGTGAAGCAATCACTGAGATTAAATCATTATAAAACAATCTTTGTAGCATGATTAATATGGAAATCCGTTTTTTCTGGTCTTTGGGCAAACTATAACCTTGTACCACACAGTCAAAGATGATGTTCTTCCTAGAACTGTGTTTCAGGTGAGTGTAGCTGTTGACCCTATTGTCCGAGAATTTAGGACTGTCAATTATATCTAAATAATGTTCTGAATTCCAGTAAATTAGTCTACTGGAATATTATGCACTGATGTAATATCATACATAAAAGACATTAATTTTTTTAGCTTGAAGACTTTTAGAAGAAACGTTCAACAGTTGTACAAGGCCATTTATGTGACAATAATAAATAAATTTATATTGTACTTTCATTATTAATTTCTCAAAGTAAAATCACCAGGGAGGTGCAATTCCTTTCTCTCTGTTATAAATTATAGACAATAACTGCAGCTAATTAAGCAGACAATGGACCAAATAAAGTTTGTATGACTCCTAGCTTCTAATTCAACATAAAAGTAGAGATCTGCAAGAATCTATTATGTCCATATATAGATGTAATAGAACCATATATGACCTAAGTTGTCAACCCAGTCAATTTCTTTTTTTGGAAGATCTCACTTCACTTCTAAGTAATATCCCTACGGCCATAAAAAAAATTCTAGTGAACTAATTAATATATTGTTCCTACTAATCCCTGATAATAATTCATAGCGTCCAGGTTTTAATTATCGACAGGATTGAGTTACAGAACTTGGCAGTTTTCAGTTTGACTGTATGTAGTTGTGCAGGTGGTGTTTTTTGTTTTGCTTTTCGTATTTATAATTAATTTTTGTGATATTTGACGTCTATTATTTCTCAAGCTTGCGCCTGCTAGGCGGATTTGTTCAAGAAAATTTTGACTATGTTCCCATTGAAGGACAGAAGTAGAAAACTTAAAAGCTCCTGAGCATGGTCTATCCAGTAGCAACCCTGGAAACTAATACCATTTCTCCAATTATGATTATCGATCATACACTAACTTTCTCGTAATAATGGCTGAAAGCCCCAATGCTCTTGCCATCACTGATTAGAGAATCAATAAATAACATGAAACAAACACTGATTTAGGAACAAGGAGAAATTAAAGAAGCATCGACGATGAGGCATCAAGCATAACGGCGGCATGAATATACTCACCAGACAAATTTTCAAATATATTTAGTACACTTTATACTGGTAGCGTACCTCCTATATATATTCGAACTTTCATTTCAATCTAGAACTACTGATTCAGGGTCACCTTTCTTTTCCAGATAAATAGTGATCTTCTGTATAATAAATTTGGTTAGACGGTTGAGTAATGTTGTAAGACCCGAACCGGGCCTTGACGCAGTCAAGGGGCTGTTCCTGGGTCGGTCAATGTAACTGGTGACATCAACATCACGTCAATATAGTATGATAAAATTTTAAATTTGTAAAATAATTGTATCCAAATCCAAAATTCAAATAATAATATAACATAAATAAAATAAATTGAAAATCCAAATCAAGTCATCAACCAGTAGGATTCTTGAGGTCAATGTTTTTTTTTTTAAAAAAAAAAACCAAATCAATTTTACAGCAAGCTAACAGAAAGATATAGGCAAATAAAGCTATATGTACATATGTAATTAAGTGTAAAATTTAAGTTATATAGTAAAAGAAAAAAAAAATCTTTTAGAAAATAACATTAATTTTGCTCTACTTTCGAAGACATTATTTAACATGGTTTCAATGATATAATGAAGTATATGGATGCCCATTAGCTTGAAAATCTTCTCAATTATTCTAATTCTATAATTTCTATTTAGAGTTGAACATTCATTAAAGAGTTTTCTTTCATTTTAAGCTCCAAAATTACCATATATTGCAAATGGGAGAGGGCTTAGAGATCAAGCCAATGAAGTGTGGACTCTAAACTATGGACGGGCGGAGTTCAGATTGGATTGGCAGAGGCGGGAAGCCGGGTAAACTGAAGTGCTGAAGGCCAGCAACATAGAGGCAGAGCAGACTACAATCCATATCGAAGATTAGAAGATTTGAAGGAGTGAAGATGAAGAGATGAAATTGAAGGATAGAATTTAGGAATTTTAATTTTAGGAATTAGGATTCCAACTTAGCCACTGGTTCTCTGACCCAACGGTTGAACCAATAACTTAACATTGTTCTGTTGGTCAAACCTTAGATCAATCCGATCTAACTGCTATAACCAAGTTTAAGATGTATTCGAACTGGATAAGGGTCTGATTCCCGGTCGAACCGATTGATCCGATTTTAAAACATTGATGTTGAGTATTGAACTCAAATTAACGTGATTGAAATTGAGAAATATACGTGATTCAAAATTAAATATATGACATCTTTTAACATAATATATAAACTATCAAGCAAGTCTAATATTGACATTCAAGTCTACTTATAAGGCCTGAGATCAGAATTTGCCCTACTTCTATAATCCACCAATTATTTTAGTAATTGCTGTAAGTACTTGCTAGCACAACAAATCAAGTCATCTTTATAGACATAATATTATCCTCTTTTTGGATAATTGGATCATGGTCATCGATTCCTTGAACCATGATCCCGACATTTCTGCATGGTAAAAATAATTGAGGTACCCCACTTTCTGATTTCGAGACTTATATATATCTTCTTTCTAAAGCTAGCTTGTCGTTCTTCTGTCTTTTGTTATGTTTCTATGTGTCAAACTCATTTGTTACTGTATAGCTGATAATAATAATGAACATATACATATATACCAATAACTCAATCTGAATACGTTTTGTCCCTAGCTACTCTTTAGTCTCCCTAACCATCATCTCTAGCAATAACGACAACATTCTGCAAGGCACTTCAATAGTCCTCTTTCTCTTTTCCACCAAGAAAAATTAATCACTTTAATATAACTTTTGAGTTTGATTTCCAGCAATTTTCAAATGAGTACCTACCTTATTGATGAGTTGATACAATTATATTCAGGTTTTATAATTCATATCTGGGTATGAAGAGAGTTAGTGATTAAATTGGTATAGAAAATAACATAGGCTGAGATATATAAAAGATGGTGATCAACTTATAATCACACATAATAATCAAGATCCAAAGCCTTTAAAGTAGAGGTTAAGACGGATAAAATGAGAAAGTGAAAACAGGAAATTTTTTGATATTTCACTCAATTTCACTGTGCTTCACCCATTGTCTTCAATCCAAAGGAAGCATTAACGTAATCCTGTCATGACTAAATATTGGTGCTAAAGTTGATTGTTTATGTATAACTTATACAGTCTAGCTTGCTGCTTGCAGATGCTAGTCTACGATTATCTTTGCCCTACAATGATATAATATATATGATTAAAATAAAATCTTCAAATCTGTGTGTCATGTGTTAAATTTTGTACATATATGGTTATTCTTTCATTTTTATTAACTACAGATAAAATCTTTGAATTTACTCATATAATAACATGGAATAGCTAGCCTAAAAAAATAGGTATCTAGATGACTATAAGAGAGAAAGGAAAAGGCCTCTAAAATTTAGGAATTATTTTAGAAACATGTATTCAAACAAAGATCGAGTGAATAACAATTGACATCCATTCATAAAGCTAAAGAAACATCATTTTTTTAAATATTTTTT